GGCCACCTCTCTCACCCCACCCTCTGTGTTGCCGTTGCAGAAACAGACAGCGCAAGCTGGGTACGAAGCTCCAGTGACTCGGGAAGTGTGGGACCAGAGTGCACGTTTTAACGGAGACAGACAAGAGCAGAGACCTGGGAGCAGCAAGGAGCCTTTTAACAGTCGGACCAAAGGAACAGGCAGGGACCATACCCAAAACCTGAAAGCCTTTGCTCTGCTTTAGCAGCTAGCTGGATGCTCCCTGATGCATGTGGGACCGTGCAGGAGTAGAAACTCATTTTCAACACAGATGCACATTGCCAGTTGGAATGTACCATCGTGTCTACGTCAGGGGAGGGGGGAGAAAATGCCTGGTGTCATGTTTGGGGGAGGGAAAACCAAAAATGAATCCTTTCTGTGACTTTTTTTTTCAGCATGAAATATACACACTATTTATTTATTTTTTTAAATGGAGCTATTGTTTTTGGGGTGGGTGAGGCATTGACTGTGTGTTTTTGTTTGGGTTTTTCTTTTCGGAAGAAGATGACAAAACTAATGTCAAGCTGATCATGCTCAATTAGGGCGTTTAATTTTTAAAAACTTCTTAGGAGGGAGGGGAACTAGGATGGGGTGACCTAGGCAGAAGGGAAAGGAAGACTTTCTGTCCTTTCTGCAACCAGTTGGGGAGATCAAAATCAATTCCAACTGCACTTTGTACAGATAGAAAGAAAGCCTAAAGATCTGATTTTTAACACTAGTGATGGTTCTGCAGGGAAGCCTGCACAGATATGATTAAGGGGAGTGTGTGTGTAAAACAAAGGAAAAACTGAAATATACTGACTATTTTTTTTCCACTGGTTGCTCCTGTTGTGTAATTAGCAAGAGTGTCTTTCTCAGTCTCTTCTAGGTGGCAAGATTATCATACATATCTCACATTTATTCCATCTCTTCCTTTACAATTCTATTACCTCAGGGTTGCTGTGATCTGTACAGCTTCTGTTATTGTACTGAGTGTGCTACTGATGGCAGTAGAAAGCCCATTGGTTATAAGCAGTGCTCTGCTCCAGTAAGAGTCAACCCAAAGCCTTACAAAATTCAGTTGCTAGTCTCTGTCTTAAGCACTGGATTTTTAATTTTTTTTTTCTATTAAAGCTTAAGGGAGAGATTCTTAAGAATGAACAAAGTGACAACCATAAATGAAGAACAAGGCAAACGACTATAATAACTAGCTCAGCTGCTGTCTGAATTATTTCTGGAAGAGTCCTGTTAGAATCCAACCATCAACTGGAGTAGTGAGCTTGTCCTAGCAGAGACTACTACCAGTTATTACAGTGGCTCGGTCAGGGTTCTGCAGTAGTAACCTTGAATGCCGAACTCCTACAAGCAAGTTTTGCTTTCCATCCTTCTTCTGTTCTGATTCTTCATTTGGCCAGTCAGCTCTCTGGATGCTGTGTCTCTGTGGGAGTGTGCCTGCCATCTGTGTGTGCTGGTGATGCCTACAACTTCTGTGATCCATGAGTTAACCTGGCAAGGGCTATACTCAAAGTGCTTCAGGGCTGTGCATGGACACTTTCTGTATTTATAGTACATAATGCAGCAGTTCAAGTGTAACTACAGAGAAGTATTTATTCAAAGCACAATTGACTTGAACTTTCACAGATAAAGGACAGCTTCTGAACTGGCTCAAAGGTCATCACTGTGCCTTCGATGCAGTCATGTGAGCAGAGGTAAAATGACTGTCACATCTCTGTCTTGCTGCCTGTTTTACTCTCTCCACTTTAATCAGACTCCTGCATTATAAAGCTGCTTGAAGTGAGACGTGTTTCTGTTCATCTTGATTATTTTTATTTTTTTTAAGTTTTCATCTGTGCCTGTTGCCATAGGGGTTTGTGTGTTTGTATGGAGTGGGAGCTGCTGTAGAAACTATTGGACAACCAGAGTGTTAACTGTAGAAAGCAGCGATCCTGATCTAGGAGATCAGGAATGAAGGCTGTTAAAATTTCTGTGTTTGAGTAGCTATGGGTAGTAAACTATTTTCACTTGTTACAGCAAATATTTTTTTTTAAAGAACTGTTTAGTATTTGCGTAACATGAGCAATCCTGTTAATATCTGAAGCACTGGATCTGCTTTGAAGGTGCATCAGAATAAAGAGGCATCTTGCAGCTTTCACAAGGACATTTGATCTGACTTAGAACAGCTCTATTAAAATTAGACAGGACATCAGATAGGCCACATGACATGGTGGGACCATATGTTTCAGCTTGAAAGCTGGTATTAATCACTTACGTCTTGCAAAACCATTTCTTTTCTCTTTATATCTCTTGTAAGTTAGCTTACAAAGCCAGAAGGGAGATCACAACTCTGTTCCCCAAGAACTAAGCTGAAAGAGTGAATTGTTTCAAGAGTGGCTAGCACTTCCATAGCCTATCTTAAGCTGTTATGACAGGCTGCTGGAAAAACTGTATGTGGAAGCACCTATTGAGAACTAGAGCATAAGGAAGAGGTTTCATCTCCTCATGGAGAGCAGTGTAGTGTAAAAAAGCTGTTCCGCTTTGTGTTGCCTTCAAGCCCAAGCTTCCTACAGTAATTCTTAAGACTAAGGGAGAGGAAGAAGAGGTCTTGTAAGACACTGTACTAAACTCTCCTCTGTTCTGCGAGTTGTTTGTAATCTGCATCTTCTGCCTACTTTTGCTGTACCTTTCAAGAAATCTTTGCAATACTTGATATAATAGAAATTCCTTAGTGATCCCATGGATTTTCTTAACTAAATGGTGCTGTGCAGGAAAAAGATTTGAGCTCTGCCTTATTATCCTACACTTGTATGAAGTCTCCTGCCACTAGTTTTCTGAAATGGAATATTTTTTTTGAATATGTGGCTTTGCGAGCAGATGCTTCCTATTCCTCCCCTGTACTCAAGGGGGCTGGATGGAGATAATAAGACAATAAAAGGTGACAGAATGCTGTGGTTCACTGTTCTTGCTGTCCCCACACAAACATCCTCCCCCAAGGGTAGTTGTGTAACTTCTGCAGTGTCTAAGGAGACTTAAGCCTTTCTGTAGCACTTATCTGTTTATTGTGTTTCAGTTTATTCAAAGAATGTTTCAAAATTTTGCATGACATAGATTACACTATCAAAACAGTATTTAATGCAGCTAACCAGCAAAGCATGCAATGCTACCAGGCTGTGTCATAAATTGCACTCATATCCCAAGAGTTATCTGAATATTTTCAGTCTATGTGTTTCTTAAATTATTTGTTCCAAATTGGTAGTTTTCTGGAACTTAAGTTTCTTGTATTTAATGTGCCTTTAAGACAAGGGACACCTCTTGATAAAACAATTGGATAATCAGAAACATGGAGGAAAACAGTATTCAGTAAGTTGATACCGAAAAAATCAAGAAGGTATGAATTGGAAGGACATTGCATTTTAGAACTTGTACAATAAGAAAAGACTTTTTAAAGGAGAAACCTTGTAATGATTTTGGTGTCCTTTCAAGCAGTTTAAAAAAAAATGAGCTTCATTCATCGGAATTTCAGCTCCGTCTACCATTAAGGATGCATTAAGTGGTTTATGAATCTTGTATCTTTTTCAGTGTGATAGTCTGCTTCTTGCAGCTGTACTCTGCTGAAGCTAGTGGGATATCCAGATATAGATCCAGAACAGATCAATCCCATTTTCTGAGATAGTCACAGCAGTGCATACTTCTGCTTAATCTTTAATAGGCACTTTCTGTTGAGAGCCTTCCCCTTTGAGACAGAAGTAGAAAAGGGCCAGTCTCGAATACTTAAGTGGCAATACTGTAGCATCAGTGGTTGAAGGCACTGCAGACAGGCAAAAATAACCCATCCCCTAGCAACAGAGGTTGATTGAGCATGGGGGGAGGATTACTTTGGCAAAAGGAATTTTTTTTCAATGTAAAAGGCTCCATAAACCCAGATGTTATTCCAGCAAGGTTTGGTCTTTTATGTAGTATTTACACAATCACTTATACTTTGATAATACTGAGTATCTTGCAGCTTTCACTCTAATTCATACGGAGGAGTCAATACAGCAGGGATGCGTGCTTGCAGATTTGTAGTGCTCCTATTGGTGTTTTTTTTAGACTATCCCACTCTATTCAGGATTCTTCTAAAAGATCAACTAAATCCATGTAGATGATGTGAAAGTGTCAGTTCATACAATCGCTGGCTGTGCAGGTGAGTTTCAGTTTTTTTTCCTCTTTAAGGTTTATTTAGGTATAAGACAGAAGCTTTGAAATAACATCCTTTGAGGGAAAAAATGCAGTAGTGTTGGCTTGTGTCTTTCAAAAAGCAAATTAGAGTGATTCTTTTACTTTAAAGAGGTTTAGCACTAATTTCTTCATATATGTTCACCAAGGCACTTTGATCATGTCCCTTGCTGTTCTGTGATCAGAAAGTAGCAATTATGGTCAAATATTTCCCTGTAAACAAATTAGACCATCAGACTCCTAATGCTGCTTGTTTATGGTGATGTCCCAGCAGCCACATCTTGAAGGGTGTGCAATTTAAATATTAAACTCCTGTTGCAGAAATAGCACTAGAGTTCCTCATTAACATATGGTTTTACTAAATAAAAGTATAGTCAGGAGCTTGGATTCTGGCAGATTCATTGCAGTGCTTACAAAAATTCCTATGCTACAATTGTATGTTAATGTTTGTATATAATCTTTTACTGTCTCAAGTTTGTCAATTGAACATGAAAACACTATCATGAGATCACTCTCTCACAGAATAGAGCTGGCACAAATCTGAGTAACGTTGCAGTAAGAAAAAACTCCGTGAATGGCAGAAAAGGTGCTGTACTGTTACTGCAGGAACAATCGCTGCCACAGTGCCCAAACATTTACAGTGCCCACATGTTCTCAGCTTTGTTCCTGCTTTTCAAGATTTTTCTGCCATGTTAAAGCAGAATGATGTGAAAGAAGGGTGATTCTGCAGCTGTTTTTCCTTGGCTCTAACAGATTTGAATTCTGTGGGCCGGAGACAGAAGTATGTTTTGGAGTTCCTGATCAGAAACATTCTTACTTCTCCACAACTTGGGCATAACAGATGGTGCATAGATACGTTGTTTCTGAAAGCAAGGTATAAAACCACATTGGGTTAACATGTGTGCCCTGAAGGGAGACTAGGCATGTGGCCTTCTGGCTAGTAAACAGAAGGTCAGCATCTTTTTCTTTTCCTCTATTCCAAAGAAAGGTACAATGAAGCAAGCGTCCTGCTAAATGCATAGACAATCCCTCCTCATCTCTACAAATGTTAAGTTACATGAAGCCAAAGCTAGCAAAACCTGTGTGAGAGAGAAGTTTCATAGAAGCTTTGTAGGGGAAAAGGCTTTACGCTGAGTCTGAAGATCAGTGGCTAGGACCACAACAGCAAGCTTAACAAAAAGCCCAGAACAACAACAAAAAAACACTTAGTTTGTAGCAAATGATATTCTGTTGTTAATAGGGTCAGTGCAACAGAAAGGAGATCCCAGCATCCTAGAACAAGGGGAAGGGAACTATTCCCAGGCCTGTAAAGCATGTAATGGTCAGATTGCCTGGGATAAGTAGTGCAGTGCACTCTAATGAGACTGGATCTGCTCTGACTTAAGAACTTCTTTCTCCCCTGGTGAAGTTGTGCTGGAGCAGCAGAAGAATCTTCAGTCAAGTTTGAAAGATGCTGTGCTCTTCAGAACACTAAACCAGCAAAAGACTTCGTCTTATAGTAGTTCCATCATATAATAAACATTCCCTGTTTTTCCTGGAGAAGAATTACCGTCCTCACCAAATGGATTTAGATATTGGTAATGACTGTACTTTCTGTATTCTTTTACAGTAAGTTCCATAAAATCCTATTTCAGTCCTCTTTGAGGACAGGAAGGTGCACTTTGCATTGATGGGACAGGACCAGTCAGTTCTACTTTGGCTTAAGACAGTGTTTCCTCTCACCACAGAGTCTAATACCTGCAGCTGACTATTCTGTAACCTCTTGCTGAAAACAAATGGTAGATGCCCTCCTAGGTTCCAGGGCAAGCTGTCCCCTCAATCATTTTCTGAGGAACTGGGAACTTCAGTGCATGAGGGATGGCCCCTTTAGCTGGGGGTTCTGCGTCATGTTTGCCTCTTACAGTTTGGATTTGGGAGTGGACTGGAGCAAGATCCTCATGTCTAGCAGTGCTTTCTCAAGATAATGTGCCATGCGGGCTGCGTTTGTGTCAGCACAGCTGTTGAATGCTGAAATTGCGAAGTTGATATGTTCAGCCATAGGGTTGTAGCAGATTCCATAGCCATCTGGAACCACGGGACCAAAACACATCACACAGTCTGTCTTTGCTGGGACCTGTGGAGAAAATGTGATTAAAAACTTCTAACCAGTCAGAGAAATGTAGCCATCAAATGCTAGCAGGTCTGTCAACAGTAGAGGAAACTGCCATCTCGTTAAAGTGCTCTAGAAGAGGGCCTTTTTGATCAGACCCACCTACCACCACATGCGTGCTGGATTCTACCAATTAGTAGCAATATGTTTTCCTATGCATTTGCGAAGGAGTACTTCTCCCCAAGATAAGCTTGTAGGAAGTCAGAAGTAGAACTATATCGGTAAGAATCAGAGCACAGCAGGTGAACATAAAGCTATTCTGGCAGCTAACTTCAAATGATCTCCCTTGCATTTAGACACCAGACACTTCTGGTGACATCCTGGCTTTGGTTATCCTAGTTTTGTACAGGGTTGAGAGGGACTGTGGCAGCTGTAAGATCAGATCTGCAGCTTTATGGCATTGGGAGCAGGCTTAAAAATTTCTGTCCCTAAGCAAAGATTAGTTTCTAACAGAAGGGAATGAAGGAGAATTGGGGAAAAGAGAGGTAAAGAAAAGAAACAAGAGAACACTTCTGTCTTTGCTCAGATGAGTCCTACCTGGCTGGTGGAGAGATTGAAGTGCATTGCAACAGCATACGCTGTGTCCATGAACAGTTCAGGTATGCTCACTAGGTCCTCAATAGCTTGAAGCTTCAAGCCTAAGAGGTGGCGGTCTATTGCATTGCCCCTTATTGCCTGGAAGGAAGGAAGACTAGATGAAAGCCTGTCTAGCAGGCAAGCAAGCAAAACTATCAATTTATTTGGGTTAAAGAAAAGAACACTTCTAAAAATCTCTAAATGTTTAAAGTTAGAAGGAAACTAGATCTTGCCTTTGGGACCAATAGTCACTCTTGTTTGTAAGGACTGTGAAATTAAACATACATACCAGTGGAACCAACTTTACAGTTCCTATCTGTGGGCTCCCTCTGGTTTAAGGGGTCCTCATGCAACTTTGGCATTTATCAGCAACAATGACAGTAAGAACTGAAGCTATTTTCATATCTAATTCTCTCATTTAGGTCAACCACAAGGGACACTTACGCTGTTAGCTAGAGAGAAAGGATTCAGTCCATGGCCTAGAGCACTGTCACATCAAACCCCAAGTCTGGCTGCATAGAGGACACTCACCATATCAGTGTATTCCCTGTGGGCCTGGGTAGCTCTCCTCAGCAGGTCTGCTTTCTCCTGGTCCTGAGAACACATAGATCTGTCTGTAAGTTTTTGGGGCTTTTTTCTGCAGAATGGAAAACCTCATTTTGGCTGTTCCTCTAGGATGGAGGGCATTTCTGTCTTGTGTGTCTATACTAGACTAATTTTTAGATTTACTAGATGTAATTTTTAAATCATTTTGGTTGTGTTACTTCATCTTGAATGGAGTTTTCCATCCATTAGTAGCAGAACTTAGTTTGAGTAGCTAAACAGACTTTTAGAAGGGACATACTTCTTCTTGGTGGGATTAGAAACATCCACATGTTGTTTCCCAGCCTTTCAATGCATGTGAAAGGAAAGCCAAATGAAACTCAGTGTGTAACTATATACTCCAAGCTATGTTTTAGCTCAGCTTCATATTTGGTGTGGTTCTGCATAGCTAAAACCAGCTGACACAGGGTTACCCAAATAAGCAGCTTTCCTCTCTTTCTGGAGTGGAGTCCTCTTACTCCACTTTTTTGAGATCCTCACCGATTTGTCAGGGCTGTCCATTGATTGCACAAACTTAAGAGAGTCTACAGAAGCAGAGCGGATGGTATCTGTGCGGCCCAGGCGGAACATCCTTAGCGATGCACTCTCGTATGTGGCACAGGTGTGGCCATACATCCTGGAAGATGAAGAAGAAAGTCACAGAAGTGAGTATGCCCTGGCAGAAAAGGCCTCTTGTGAAACAGAAGATCTGGGGGAAGGGGAAGGCTGGGGGGGAAGTCCCATTGACAGCTGACCTCTGATGCTTCCTTACTAGGACTGTACACACACAGAGGGGTAAATCTCACCTGTTCCTTGGCAGCTGCCACAAGTGAGATCTGCTGTTCAGTCCCGGTGCTTGGGGAAAATGTGGGACTTAGGAAGCAGGCCATAGCAGCCTGAAAGAGACTTGTCTGTGCCACCTTTATCAAGCTTACATATTTGAGTCTGATGGTGAAGAGATTGAGAAGCTACCTAGTGGTGGTCTTACCTGTAATATGCGAGCTGCAAGGCCAGCTGGATAAAAGCATCAGGACTTATCTTCTCTGACTTGGGGAAGGTTTTCCCAAAGTGATGAAAGACCAGGACTTTGACATCCAGGTCTTCAACCATTCTGCAATGAAAGAAAGAGGAGGTGTTCCTTTGCCTGTTGCTTGTTCTTGTAACATAAACCATCAGAGTGGCTTTGCTTTCACAAGGCTCAGAGAGAACAGACTATCTGGATCTGACCTACACAGGGACAGAGAGCTCCATCACACACGGATTTGTTTGGGCAGCATCACAGAGATGAGCTTTTTTGGCCACTGCTGAAAATCTTCACCAGGTTAGGTGGGATTGTGTGTCTGTTTATGCTCTAGTATATCTAGTTAGATCCAGTAAGGCTTTGTTCTTTCTCAGTAAATGGGATGCATCAGCAATTACCCCTTTCCAGCACCTTTGATTTTATTCCTGGCAGGTGGCTTTAGTGTGCTTTTCAGCTGGGTTCAGTGCTGTTGACCCAAGAAGTCACTGGGAGAACTCCCTGGCTGCAGTGGGGGAAGCCTCATTTAAACCACTGACATGCTTCAAAGGGGGACATGAGTTACTCCCTTAGTCACTCACCAGACCGCTCTGATGCTCAGTACTTACATGTTGAGGTTCTGCTTTGCCTTCTCTATGTCATTCTTGATTTCTGGGGTGATGTTAAATCGCAGCTTTTTGGGCATTGGCAAAGGAATCATGGGTGATCTTACCAGCTCAGGTTTCTTCCTGTATAGAGAAATGATTATGTTTAACCAGACCTTTAACATGAGGCTCAGCTAAGCACATCAGAACCAGGGTGGAAACACAAAAGACATCTTCCCTAACACCCTGAGACACTAGTCACAGGCTGACAAATTCTTCACAGTGCCATTACTGTGGGTTTTTTTTGAAGGGTATGAATGAAATGTCTTCTGTGCCTTCCGCCCAAAAGAAACACTTCTCCCAGGCCAAAGTCCTGTTAATTCTGAACGGTGTAATTCGCTGAGAATGGAAGCAGTACCAAACTTAATGAGAGTAGCGTGGCCACTCAGTTCTCATCACAAATACAAGAACTGCAATACCTAATTAGCATACCACTACCCTTCCTCCAGAAAAATTCCTAGGAGGTGAGCTGTGAAGAGGCGTGTTCTTGGGGAGGAGGTGGTTTAAAGCATATCTCCAATGCTGAGGAAAATAGAGGAGGCAGGACTCACGTGTACTCCACGATGTGATCCAGAAGAGCAATAATGGGTGGGCCTTCTGAGGGAGCATGCTCATATACAAGACCACAGGAGCCATCTTCAGCAATGATGAACTAGAAGAGAAGCATGAGACAGTGTTGAAGACAGACATGTAGTGTGTGAAGCAGGAGCTATCCAGAGAGATCTTAGTATCTCGCTCCTCTATCAGAATGGACAGTGATCCCATCCTTGCGCGCTGGGAAGGTAACACAAAGGTCTCCTTTAGCGGAACAGCAATGGAAGCCTTTCAGCAGGCCTAGAAGATGTGATAGAACTGTTAGAGTTTTGCAAAATTAACTGGATAAGAGTGTGCCTGATAGATACATTTGTGTGCTCAGTGTCCTGGCAATACAGAGTGGTTCAATGGTTTTGATTTACTTAGATGCACACATAATACAGGAATAATATCACTATGTGATGACTTACCCTTACTTTTCAATTAGCTGGAATATCTAAGCTTTATCTCATCAATAAAGAGTTCCAAATAGGAACAAAATAGCTGAAAATATTATGAAGAGTTCATCAGATATGAGAAGAATATTTTAAAGCACCATTGCTACGATCTACAAGCCAGGATATACCAGCTAATGAAGGAGAAGCTTGAATAGCAGCTGCTCTTGAAGGCTCTTGACAAGACTGAATGGAGAAGAGATCACAGGGATGCCGTGGGGTGGCAGCTTATGTTTGAAAAAAACCAAAAAGCCATTGGGCAGCTTCTGGCAGAAACAGGAAAAGTGACAAGCCTAGAAGAGATAGAAGGAACAGACCTCCCTATGTCTGGGCTGCCTCCAAGCAGACAAGGCATTACTCACTGCAGGTAGAAAATTGATTTACAAGAACACAAAGAACTGCTACATGGAATAAGTGTGGGCAGAGGCAGTAAAAGAAACAAAAGTCCCTGAGGCAGGAATGAGTGCTTGTGGTGACTGCAAGGGAAATCATAGGATCTCATATTGTCAGCCACCGCACCTTGTCTCCCCTATTTCTCTGCTCTCTTGCTATAAGGAAAAGTTTCCTGCAGAAGGTTTCTGGGACTTCTTGGACCTTTGTAGTCTCAGGAAAAAGCATCTCCTCCAGACTCATGTCTTCAGCATCCTTAGTACATCAGCACTTACTTGAAGGGTTTTGTCGAACCATCGGTTCCCACTGTTCCAGCGACTGCCTCCGCCATGCAGCATCTGAGCGGCCACACGGCTCTTGTAGATGTCCTCAGACACCCGTGGCATAGGCGCATCAAGGCAGACGGTGCAAATGCTCTTCTCAATCGTACGCACAGATTCCTTGTTGGTCTTATCTGGAAGAGAAATGAACAGCAAATAAGAAAGAGGAGTTGAAAAATTTGCATTTTTAATTGGAGGGAGATTGAAATTTGAAAGAGCAGGTTTGAAGGACCCAGTATTGGATTCCTATTGTACCTCAATGCAATACTGGTCATGTAGCAGTCTATGCAGTTATTAAAATTGTAGCCAGCTGGGTTGTTACAGATGTGACCATGCTGCATTCACCCTCCTTTTTTCATGTTCCTTACATCCTACCCATTTGCAAGGCAAGAAACTCTAGGATTTCAGGTCTAACAAACCAAGCTTCAGACCTCATCTGTGTACCTTCCAAAAATAACAATACTTTGCAATGAAATCAAGTTGCTTCTTTGAGGTGGAAAGCTCATGTTACCTGTCCAGAACAAGCTTCCAAAGGAAAGTAGTGAGCAGAGCACAGCAGTGAGGTTGGTAGTTCAAGCGTTCGTGGTGTTTGTTAGCACTTGCATGTTAGGGGCTCTACAGACCTTTCAGAAGGTTGTTGTAGGCTTTTGCCCAGCTGTTTCGGTGGTTGGTGGTGAGGATCCCAATAGGTTCTTTGTTTGTTTGGAGAGAGGTGTTCCATATCTTCTCCAGCTGAGTGAAGAGCTGGTCAGTGGTAAGGGGACTTCCGTCACTGTTGTAAACATCCAGCTCAAAGAACTGAAGGTGAGAAGAGCGGACAAGGACAGAGCCAGAACATGAGAGAAGATCTTGATTGTCCAGCTCCAGAAATAGGGAACAGCCACTTTGTGAAGGTAAGACCTGACCTAAGAACTCAGCTTGTAAGCAGACCTTTGCCGGATGCTCAGAATTGAGACCCAAGTTCAACTTCCTTTGTAGGGCATAAATACAGTCCAGGCTTTAAGAAGCTCAGAAACCATGGTAATGAGGGCCAGAACACATGAGGAATTTCTGTTTCTGAGACTCAGCTCTGGTGGTAGGGTTTGTTATCCAATTTCCACTTGCAATTTCCAATTCCAGACGTGATCTCTGGGCTTTGAGAGACAGGAATTGCAGGGATAAGAAACAGAGGAAGAGAGCTGCTGTTGGCCAGCTAAGGCCAAAGGGGATAAAGGGAGCAGGAACGAATCCCTGGTGAGGCAAACCTTGTGGGCAGAGACTTTCTGTTGTTCCCTTTCCTCTGGACCACAGCTAGCTGAAAGGGACACCTGCATCTAAACAAACTTCAAAAGCTCAGCAGCTGCCATACCTGGAAGTTGTGAACCACTGTGATGTGTCTGGACTGCTTTTTGCCTTTGGCATAGTTGACAATGGAGTCCCGCTTGGGCCCAGGAATGCGGCAGGATGAGAGGATCTGGTAGTACTGGTTCATGCAGAGGGGCTTCCCACCCATGTACTCCACTGGAAGGGTCTCACTGGAGACACAGGAAGGTAAGGAGGAAGGGGGAGAGAAAACAGATCAGTGAGAAGGCCTGCACTCCCTGCACAAGACAGGCACAGGTTCAGCCATGCAGCTGCTCTCACTCATTCCAGCAAGACTTAAACATGTTGGTGCTGGCGGTATAAAAAAGGGGCCATGCTTCCCCATTCCTACTAGCTTTCTTAGTAGGGGCTACAAAAAAGTCTGTTTGTTGGCCTTTCATTTGGGAAGGGGAAGAACACTATCCTCTCTGTAACACCAGAGAAATAGATCTCTGGGCCTACTACATAGCTTAGCATACACCATGCTGTCTGCAGAGAGGAATCCAGGGCACAATATCCTGGGAGATGTATTGTTTCCTGTGAAATGGCAGCAAGAGGTTTTTGGCTATAATTTTGAGTGGTGAGTGTCTGATGTGCTATCTGTGACTCATGAACTAGACTGGGATGCATTCAATCACTTGAGCAGTCATATTCCAACTGCTTTTCTCACGGCTGGCCCTGAGCCTTGTATGAATTTGGATGTAAAGGTGTGATGTTGGTAATGTGTTGGTAAACATATTTTTGGAACATAAATAAGGCATGTTCAGCAGAGGTTTGTTGGTGATCAGAAGAAAAAGGGTAGGGAGGAACAAATTTCTCTAGAGCTCATCCTGTCTAGCTGGGAGATGAGAAACACCAGATACCCAAAACAAGAGAAACAAATT